CATATTGATATCAGCTCTTAAAAGAACTCCTTTTAGAATTCAAAAGGCATGCATATCTGCTTGTAGTTTTCTTTTACTAAGATTTTTCTCATTATAGAAGCTTGGTCCCTTCTACTTTTTATTCTAGAAACCGAAGTTTTAAATTACTTTTTCTTGTAGGTTTTAATTAGGGCCCTATTAGAGTAGATACATAGCATAATACATGTTTATAGAGGTAATTATAATAATTAATGATTACAAACAGAACTATTATAGAAGAAGCTCTAAGAATTGGTGTGTGTTTATAGTAAAAACAAGCTTAAAGAAGTCTATTAATTAAAGAGATACTAAACAGTGGAGTATTAGTACACTTTGCTTTGTGAGAAAAAAAATAAGTACCAAAATGTGTAAAGTTTTAAAACTAAATTTAAACTTAAATACACTGTGGCAGATTATTTTTTTGTGAAGTCCTTTAGTAGATCCTCTTATAAAATGCAAAATAACATCTACTTTTCTGTGATTTAGAGAATTATACCATATCAAGTTTAGGTTTGTCTTTAATAGACACTGAATATCTACTGCTAAGCAAGAGATTTGTCTAAGAAATTCAAGGTATCTAGGAGTTATAATCTTGTGAATAACTATGAACCAGTTAATGTTATTCATATTGTGGAAATTATAGTTAGAACTATTTCAGTATGATTTCTAAAGTACTCTGTTCCCCTTGCCCCCCCCAAAAAAAATCCTCTTTTAAAAGAATATTAGCTATTATTCTTATTGTCTACCATGTGCTAAGCTAGGCTCAGCAAGTTAGTCTATAGATAGTACCAAATAAATGGTATTTTTACCCGAAAGAACTTAAATTGACTGGGGAACTTAAAAAAATTTTTTTAAATTTAAGATTGTATAAGAAATTTGAACAGAAAGATAGTCCTTACGGGGCCACACAGTGGTACAGCACCATAACACGGTGCTCTGCAAAGCTGACCCACATAAGAAGGTTCCTGGTTAGGGCTGGCTGGTGGCGTGGGGTTGGGGGTACTAGATACCCACAAGGCCAATTGCAGTTTGAGTCCCAGATCTGGTGGCTTGCTTCTTGCTTTCCTTTTCTTTCTCTCTCTGTCTCTGTCCGGTCAAACTTTTTTAAAAAATAGTAATAATAATAACACATGGAATTACATAAAAATAAACAGTTCTAAAAAAAAAAAAAAAGAAAGAAAAGGTTCCTGGTTAACACCTGGGCACGTGCATGTCCACACTGAGCTGGCTAACTTTGGGGATAAATAGCGGCATCAAGATCCTTCTGAGGGTACTGTCTCTTTCTCTACCTCTCTTTCTCTGTCTAACTCATGAAAGAAACTTAAAAAGAGAAAAAAAAAAAACACGATAGACTCATAGCTAAATCATTGTGAGGAGGGTAGGAAAAAACCTCCTGTGCTGGTACAGAATTTCCATCGAGGCCCGTGCCTTATGTCATACTGCCTTTCAGTACCCTCTGTGGCCAATTTTTCCTGAGAAAATTCATATTCAAGAATAAACTCTCATGTTTGAGGACAAAATATTCATGTTTGAGAACAACATGAGAAAATTTGTATTGCGAACACATTTATATTTGATCACAAAGGTACAAATGATGTCTATAGGAGATACTTCGACTTGGCCTGGAATTTGAATACTGTATCTTTCCGTTATCAATTCTGAGAGATGAACAATGGCTTTTTGACTCTAAATGAATATTTATAGATGGTGGGGGGACGTACAGAAAATACAGATCCACACATAGCCAAATCTATTTGGTCACAGTGGAAAATTTCAAATGTGACCCGAATAGGCATCTGACGGCGGTGCCTAGCACTGCTACCGAGTCTCATTCATGTAGCCCCAGCGTATGACTGTTGTTGACCCTCTCACTCCCTAATCCCTGAGATCTCCAGTCCTATCCAGTCTTCTTCAGTTCACAAAATCTCCAAGTGGGTTTTTCTGAAGATGAAATTCTAATCATAGTTAGAAATATTCAAATCATCTAATCCAGGTGCCTTCATTTAATGATTCATTCATTTTGGTTGGCTAGGACCTATTATGCCGACTCTTTGTCAAACATGGGGCCAGCTGCTGGCAGTTCAGAAGCAGGCCACTGAGTTTATATCTACTGCAGCACACATTAATCTGAGAATCCCACGACACTTTTGAGAGTACAGTTCTGACAGTTCTGTAAGGGAATGTTTATGGAAACACCTGTATTGCAGAATGAACCTGATCAGGAAGATCTGGGAAGAATTGTCTGAGGAAGTGAAATGTGAGCTGAGATAGAAAGGCCAAGAGGTAAAAGAAGAGCCTCCTGTCCATGGAGAACAGCATGTGCAAATGTTCTTGTAGGTTGGGAAAACAGAAGGCCAGTCTGCTGAGAGAGAAGAAAATGAGGGGTACAAGATAAGTAAATATGTCAAGTTTTTTCAAGAGATTAAGGGCTTTCTTTTTAATCCTAAGAATAAGAGGAAAGCCCCTGCAGAGCATTAAGCAAAGGAAGGGCAATGGCTCACCCACACTTAGTTTTGTGTAAGACCTGTGCATTTTAGAGGTATGGGACAGGGCAGGAGAGGACTCAGTAAACAACTGAAGAGACTTTGTGGTCATCCATAAGGAGGATGATCACTTAGATATCATGCTGGAGGAGACAGAGAGAAGTGGACGTGACTGGCTATGGAGAGGATGGGAATGTATCAAGCACATCCTGTAAGTCCTGACTTTTTGTTAAGTGGATTTAGTCCAGGCTTTCAATTTGAAGTATCTTTGAGATACTTTGAAGTATCTTTGAAGAGGAGCTGCTCAGGAAGACTAGTGGGTTTAGGGAGGGGGGCTCAGATGAGAGGACTAAGCTAGAAGTATAGATTAGGAAGTCGCCTGATATCTGAATCTGCCTTAAAATATCCAGAATAGATATGCAGACTTCTGCTTCAAACACCTTCAGAACAACAGAAAGCACCACCTCAACAACCAGACATGTTTTAGTTATGGAAAGAGTTTCCTTATTTTAGACCAAATGATTCTTGGAATAAATTCTCATTAGTTCTGATTCTGCCCTTTGTACAAGCAGAATCACTTACCTAAAAGGGCTTCAGGGATTTGAAGAGAATGATGTACTTCCTTACCACTTCAGCACCCATCAGCAAAAACTTTTCAGTTCAATTCAATGATCTAACCACTGGCCATCTATTACAAACACAAAAACAGACCAAAAAAATACCAGTACATGCATATACTTCTACTCAGACCTAAATATTTTAAGCTTCCTGGGTATAGTATGTTTTCACAAACCTGTGTGCCGTTTCTTGTGCTATTGGGTAGGTATGGTTTTAAATTTCACCACATGAAAATTACAGCTCTACAGAAAGAGGCTAATGAGGACAACTAGCTGGCTACAGGAATCTTACCAAGGGAGTAGGTCAGATAGGAAGTGGCCACTAGTGTATATGAACCCAAGAATGGAGAGCAGATACGGACTCATTTGGGGCCATCATCATCATCATCATCATGATATTCAAGTTGGTCCTGTCTTACCAGTGGAGTACAGCCAAAGGCTTTCTAGGCAGTGAGCAGTGTTTTGAGTTAAGAGTCATCAACTCTTATCAGAGGTAGCTAACTGCAGCCACAAAAATCCCCTCAGTCATAGTCCAGTCAGGAGTTCCTTGGGCAGCCTTCCATGCTGTCATTGAGAGATCATCCAGTGGCTTCCTGGGGGGTTTAAGGTTCTCCACAAGATTTTCTGCATCTTCTCAAGAGAGAAGGGGAGAGAGAGCATGGGGATTAAGCAGGAGGATTTAAGAGCAGATGTAGTTTACACCACTCACATTCCATCCCACTAGCCAGAAGTCAGTCACATGGTCTGCATAACTGGGAAGACTCAGAAATGCAATTTAGCTGCATACCTAGAAAGAAAGGCAGCAGGATTTGTTGAGTACACCTACCCTATTCTGGAGATGACACCAGTTTGCTCTCTTTCTTTCTAAAACCATTAGGAATGCCTATCAAATTTAGAACAGGCTGTTCAAATTTTGCCCTCCCCTCTTTATTTTATTATTTATTTATTTTTGCTATAGGGCAAATGTGCTCACGGGAGAGAGACAGAGAGGAGAAAAGTCACCTCCCACAGTCCCTTCCCCATTCTCCTCCTAGGATTTGGGAGACACACACCCAGAGTGATTTTTCAAGCCACCAGGTCTGAGACGCTAATCGTAGTCAGCCATGTGGGAATCCATTGTCAACTACCCCGCCACCTGTTGACCCCTAAGGCTCTTCAGTATGACTTTAGCTTCACTTCTTCTAGCTTAACTGGTCTCTTCCTACTACCCAAGAAGATCT